AGTGGCTCACACATATCTTCCACACGGTTAAAGAACCCTCTTCCCTTCTCAGCCACCAGAAGTGAGTTGGAGTTAGCTTTGGCTAACTCTGGTTGGTCTGGATAAGACCAACCACCACTCTTTCCTGAATTCCTGTCTTGTTGGGAGCACAGCTGAGTACAAAGATCAGCTCCATTGGCACTTGTCCTGGGCTTCACACTGGTGATCTGCACAGTCACAGGCTAGCTTCCTTTCACATTTCTTTTCTTCAGAATGATAAAACAGAGCACATTAAACACCATGTTGTTCTTTTTGGGGCCTGTTGACTCTCACGTTTGAGGCCTGCATCCAGACATCATGGTGTACATGGCCACTATCTTCTCCTTCTACCAGGCCTATCATTTACACCACTCAGGCACAGGGCTTGTTTCCAGCCACTTCTGAGCTGAGCATGAAGTCCACCTCTGTGTGGACAGAACCGAGCTCTGCCTTAGCTCACAATGCAGAGATCAGATGGAGCCACAAGTGACGAAGAGGAGGAACAAGTGCAGACTGCTGAGTGTGTGGAGTAGGACAGCATCCTTACAGAAGGGGAAGAGTCAGGCATTTCTGAGATTTCAAGAAGTTAAATAAGGAGAAAGGGGATACATACTATAAGGAATTCTGGGGTGCCAAGTGCGAAGGCCCTTGTACTGGGATGAAGCCTGAGTGTTTGAGAGAGAGAGAGAGAGAGAGAGAGAGAGAGAGAGAGAGAGAGAGAGAGAGAGAGAGAGAAAGAGAGAGAGAGAGAGAGAGATGGGGGCATGGTAGAGTTCACAGAGCTGCCCCAAGCCCATTTTCCTTTTCAGTGGGGGGAACAAGCTGACCCAGGGCCCTTACGTGGAATGGCTGTCAGAGTCTCACTACTAGCCTTCCTGTGCACAGCTTCTGCCACTGGTTTTTGTAAGCACAACTGAAAGTCATTAGGTGATGGGAAGATTGCAGTTACTGGCCACTATTTACATGCAAGTTGCAGAGTCTCAGAGAAATCAGTGCTATTCAGAACATGTTCTAAGTTCACACTGACTCCCCATCCTCTAAAGACTGTAAACTGCCCAGCAGTCTTAGTCACTTGTGTTAGAGCATTCCTCTGAAGAAATCCTGGTTTGAAGGATTACAGAAATGAACAGATCTGAGAATATTCCTAATCTAGGGTCATTGCCAGTTGAGAGCAGGGAGGAAACGCCAGAGAAACCCATAACACCAGCAGCAAAACATGGGCTCTGAGACCAGCACGTGCTCCACAGAGCATCACAGTGGAAGGGAAGCCCTGCAGCCACATGTGAAGCTACATGCTACCAGCATGACGGCATCCCAAGCCAGGGCTGTGGAAACAGCAACCTTAGGTAATCTTGGTTGGTGTAGGGGTATGGGCCATCATGGTGTAACTGATTATTACCACAACCAAAGTGTTCATGTGACTGTAGGCCAGTCACAGGGTGACCCTGAGCAACTACCTTCAGACAATACAATACTTTCTGGGTTCTCTGGCTCTCAGTTACAGAAATCCAGCCCCATCAAGGGGCACGATTTTTTGTAATGTCAAACTCGGTGGAGAAGTGAGAGTTAACACTAAAACCACCATCTGGGACGTGTTGCTGGGCACAGCAAAACTGACTGACAGATGGCTTAGAGACAGGTGTGCACAGTGTCTTCTCACCCACGGGGAGGAAAGTATCTCCTGTTCTCTACTCTTCAGCTAACCCAAGCCTTGTGAATGTGGCACTGTGATGGAGAAGCAGGCAAGGATATTTCTAATGATTCTGTAATTCCCACACACTGGAAGACAGCTGACCAGCTTCTGGGACAATGATGGCTTCTCCTCTTTCCCACCCAACTAATCACCCTATAAACTACTTCTGGAGTGATGGTTGGAACTCACACAGCTATACTTATAAGAGCACAAAGAAGCCACCATGAGTCACAGCTTAGTTCTTGGATCACAGGGATTCAGCTACATCACTCAGGCCCTCCTCACTGGACCTCATTCAGGAGAAACACTTGGGGCTCAGGGATAACTTTGCTTCCCACAGGGCGTGGCTGTAGCTGAGACAGGAATATGAAGAAGCCAGTCCAGGCTCTAGGCTGAGCTTGACCTCTCAGCTCTCAGGCTTCAGCTCCTCACTTTTAGAGAGAGAAAGGGTTGGGCAGAAAATTTGAGAGTTTCTTTTCATTTTAAAACAACTATGGGGCTAGGAAGGTAGCTCAGTAAGCAAAGTGCTTGCTGTGTAAGCATGAGGATCTGAGTTTGATTCCCAGAACCCAGGAAACTAAATTAGGTGTGGAGGAGGAGCATGGCTGTAATCCCAGCACTGTGGAGGTGGAGACTGTAGAGGCAGAAACAGGTGGATTGTTGGGGCTTGCTGACCAGCCAGTCTAACCAATCAGTGATCTCCAAGCTAATCATAGACCCTGTCTCAAAATACAAAGTGAATAGTGTCCTTGAGTTTGTCTTCTAGTCACCACATGTACACACACAAGTGCATGTGCACCTACACACACATCACAAACACACACACACACACACACACACACACACACACACACACACACAGATACAAACCTAGGGTAAAATCTAGAATGGGACAGGTTACTGTTCCTTCCCACTGGGTAGAAAATTTCCCTTTTCATGGAAGATGCTTAATATGATCAAATACTACTAGTGTCTCTCCATTCCACTCCACCAGTGACAGACCAAGTATTGGTTGACTTCCAAGTATTAGCTGCGTCCCTGGTTAGGGCAAAAGGATTTCAGGAGAGAGTGGGGGCAGGGGACCTCTAAGCTATGGCTGTCTAAGCCTAAAGCAGTCTGAGAATGTCAGCCCTAATCAGGGATTAGTGGCATTCGAAGTTGGGGGAGGCAGGGAGAAACTCCAGCAGGCTTGGCCGCTAGGGTCAGGCTCTCACTAGTATAAATGCCAGCATCTGTTCCCTGCATATCATCACTGTAACAACAGCAAAGGCCCAAGACACTGGTGGTAGAGAGGCAAATTACTGACTTCCTCTCTGCTGCAAAAACCTCCATTTGAATTCAGTCAGAGAGCATTCCCAGGCATCTGCCAAGCAAGTACAACAAAAACCATGGCAAGAGATACTCCAACACCAATTCCTGTGCAAAAGTGCACATAAAGCCCCTGCAGGAACCACCAGTTACTTTGAGCTTAAACCCAGTACAGTACTGGCACTTTCAGGCAGGAGCTCTCGGGATAAACGGCTGAATTTGGTAAAGAGCAGAGCACAGACAGAACCATGCAAACAAACTCATGTCTTTCGAGCCCCTGCATGCCCTCCCCAACAACAAAGGCCAGGGTTACAGGTGAGAGGCTTTAACCTGCCAATAATTCCATGGAATTCACTTGCCCAACCAAGACCAGTGCTAAGGAGGGGCTTCCTCTTTCTGGCCAACCCTCCAGGCAAAAGGATCCCTGGGAGCATATCTAGAGTGATCATATCTTAGGAAATCAACCAAGAAATGACAGGAAATAAAACATCCAAAATTCACAGAAGGGAGGGTCACTGACTCTGGGCCACTAGTGTCCACCTCCTACAGATCATTAACCTGCATACCCAATAGCACCCTACAGAGAAAGAGAACAAGACTGGTCTCAGCTCAGGCAACTCTGTTTTCTCCTTGCTGAGACCAGGCTTCTGACACCAGATCAAATAGGGGTCAGTGACAGCAGCTTCATGGTGGGATAGTGTTTACACCTACATATGAGGACACGTAGCTTGTGTGCTGACCCTGGGTAAAGGTCCAGCTCTGATGACTGGGCACCTATTCTAGGTATCAAGACAGATGTCAACTGAGCTTGTAGCCTTTGCATCCAAAAATCTTTTTCCAAGAGTCCAGAGCAAAGTCTCTTGTACTGTTGGATTTGTGCTAATTTATACTTACAGCTTTTTTCTTTCTTTCTTTCTTCCTTCCTTTTCTTTCTTTTCTTTCCTTCCTTCCTTCCTTCTTTCTTTTTTTCTTTCTTTCTGTTCCATGGCCACATGTGCCAAGCTCATGGCACAAAAACCAGGCTCAGGGCCCACTGTGGAATATTCTGAAAGTGGTTAGGTTCAGCCATGACAATGACTGAACATTGTGGTAGTCACTGTGTCCAAGGCTGGTGGTGTGGGGCTTCTCTACTGGGATGCACAGCAGGTATGAGTGCCTGTGTACCAGAAGTCAAGGGACAGATACAGTGCTGACAGGTGCCAGCTCTGTCCCACAAAGCTCCTAATTCCCCTGTGGAATGCCTCCAAATTGTAGACGCCAGGAACTTGTCTTTACACTAACATCTCTTAAAAGTAAAAATAAGACAGCAAGCAATTAATAACGAAAGAAACAACCTCAGGAGTGTGAGGCACAGAGCTGGATAATAAGCCCAAGGTGTGAGGTCAGTACATTTGTGTCCATATCCTGGCCCTGACACCAAAGGCTATGAAACTCTAACCTTCCAGACATCAGTTTCCCCAGTTGTATGATGATGAGGATGTCATGCTGATTTCCAAGTGACATAAGCACTTACAGACCCCAGGGCCACATCTGGCAAGCAGTGATACCTCAAAAAATGGACATTCTTCTGTGATATACTCAGAAATGCAAAACTTTTAGCATTGAGAAGCTCTAGGCAGAGGGCAACAGATTTGAAATGGAAGCATATTTGTATCACAGCTATCCACAGTTATCGGGTTCAAAATCAATAAATGTCCACCCAGAGTCCACTAGAGACCAGCTGGGTGGGCTCAGGTTCTCTGAGCGGTTCTCCCACAGACAGCCTACTCCAGGGAGCCAAGGATGTTAGGTGTGTGAAACAGTCATGTTGTTGATTTCCCACCGCAGGTGCAGCACTCTCCCTGGTCCTAACTTCAAGGATGGAATGCCTTGCCTCTGTAGGCTTACGGTGGCGGGTCAGGGGCTGTGGTGGCCTCCAATCGACAGGGCTCTTTCTGATAGCCCCCTCACCCTCAAACACCACGCCTTCCTAGGAACTCACCCCTCTCCTTTCGGCCTCGTAGTTCAGGGCGGTCACCCAGGCCGTTTGCCACTGGCTCCCCCAGCTATCCAGTGTCAGTATCCAGGACAGGAGCGTGTCTGACTCCCGGCGCCTTCGCTCGTCCGGCTCCACCCGCCGCCGGGGCGGGGGTCGCGCCCTGGCCAGCGCCCATTGCGCCAAGTACAGGCCCACCGTGCCCAGGGCCGCGACGAAGAGCGACACCAGGATGAGCCACTGTACCTCGCCGAGCCACGAGCCCATGCTGACGGCGCATACCCGGCGTGCGCGCCCCGACTTCCCCAGCAGCCTTGGCCCTGGGGCTCGGAGCGGGCGGGTGGCGACTCAGGACATCCGCCGGGGCTCAGGGACGCGGGGTCCGGGGCCTGAGAGGCCGAGGCCGCGGGGAGGGCGGCGGGGACTGGTCTGCGCGCCTAATAGAGCGCTGTGCACCTAGGACTGGAACACGGGACAGAGGCGGCCTGTCCCTCACGCGCGTCTGGGAAGTGCGGGACCAGGCGCTTCCTCTTGGGTCCCAACCCCGGGCGTCCGGCCCGCCGCCCCGCAGTAACCGCAGGAGGACGGGCCTGGGGGCGGGCAGAAGCGGAGGCTCCCTTCACAGCTCCGCCCCCTTAAAGGCCCCGAGGGCCCCGCACAGCTTAAGCGCTCAAGGTTTCTCCCACCACAATCCTGAGTGGTGACAAGATGGTGACCTCGTTAGGGTGCTGCGTTTGGCGCAATGGACCCCAAAGGCTACGGCCGGGCGCCCTCACTGGGTTCTGTGTGCTCGCGCGCGTTGGTAAGAGATGCCCCACTGAAGTGAGAATTTCAAGACTTTCCCTACCACCAGGGCTGGGTTTCGAGGCTAGCCGCAGCTAGCTGTAACCCTAAAGTAGGCTCATGGGCCGCCTTATGGGGATGACGCCTGTGCTAATGCAAGATCTTGGAATGTGCTTGTCAAACCCAGGCCCTAGTTCAGGATGTGGATGGATCATTGACATTTTTGAAGCGCGCGCAAGTGTACATGTGCGATATGGTGGGATGTGTATCTGGCAGTGTGTGTATGGTGGTGAGATGTGTATGTGCCTTGTGTCTGTGTTTTGTGAATTTGTGACACACTTCTGCATGCTCACCTTGAGAAAGGAATGTTTAGGAAAGTTGTCAGAAACAGAGTAGCCAGATTCTCCAAGACCTGACACAGTCTTATCTCTTAACATGGTTCAGCTGTGTTTTTTGCAGCTACTTCAAAGGAATTTGACATCAAGTTGGGCTAGGTGGACCTACCATTCAGCCTTCTCTTACAATGTAGGAGTCTGCAAGCCAAAACATCAGGGGAGATTTGGGCCAAGAATCAGTGTCCCCTCCAACCCCTATCTTTGAGGAGAAAGATTGGGTGGCAGTTGGACAGAGGGATTTCCTAGTCAGGACATAGGATTAAAAACAGCCCTAGCCACCTCTTGTAAATTACCATAGGCTGATGAGCACTGATAGTCCACAGGCTAGAGGCTCAGACCTGCTCCTCTTTTCCCTCTTTACATCTGGTATTTTGAGAAAAAATAAAGGAAATCTGTTTTTGTTTGAAGAAAGGATCAGTTATTTTCTGACCTATAGCTATATCTATGCAGTTGAGTGATGTGGGTCTTACCAGGCACCTGAAAGTCTAGACTATATCTTTCTGTGCCCAAGTCCACCTGTGTTCATGTGAGTTCACATGTATGCTGGCTGCTACTGTGTGGGTGGTGATGAGGAGCTCATCCATCCTGTGTGACTGGTGCAACCAGTCTCATTCCTCCATTGACATGCCTCTGGGGCTGCTCACGCCACTGACACAGCTACAGGCTTGTAACACCTGCAAACTGACCACCACCCCTAGTCTGGAACGCATCATATTTCCATATGTGTCTGCAAAGAGATTGTTGACATGCAGATATGAAGGGTGTCAATATTTGCTTCTAGAAGCAAATTGTGGGGGAAATAATGACACTGACTTATGGGACAATGCAGGTGATCAAAACATGCTTGCAACAGAGCAGAAACACCCTGTAGGTTCATGAAGAGATCAGGCCCTTCTAGTTTCTGCTCCCAGTGGATGACCCAATGGCTCTGGGCTACTCACTTTTCTGGCAAAAGCGGCACACACCTTCCTCATCATGACATTCCTCATGGACTTGGGAAGCAGACTATAGTTCTCCTGTGAGGAGCACCACCTCACAAGAGTGGATTTTAATAGGTTTAGTTCTCAGTCACATTTGTCTGTGGCTGTTTGTGGGGTTTAACCACTGTGGTGTGTGTGTGTGTGTGTGTGTGTGTGTGTGTGTGTGTGTGTGTGTGTGTGTGTCTGTGTAATATGCCCATGTGTATTTAAGGTACATGCACCCATGCACAGCAGCAAAGGCTGGAGAAGGATACCAGGTGTCCCACTCCACTTTCAGCCTTACTCCCTTGAGATAGGATCTCTTTACTGTCTCTGGAGCTAGGTTGGTGACCAGCAAGCCCCAGCACTCCTCTATCTCTGCCCCCTTCCCACCAGCACTGGTGTTACAGTCAGGCATGCACCCACATCTGGCTTTTTACATTGGTTCAAGGGATTTAAACTCAGGTCCTACACAGCAAGTACTCTTACCCACTGATCCATCTCCCTAGTCCAGGTTTAAACACTCTTCAACTCAAAACTGTGACTCTGAGTTTCTATGAATATGTGGGGTAGGAGTCTGTACATGGAGGAGGATCCTAGGTGTTCTGGCTGCTGTCCCCAAGTCTGCTCTCCCCTTTGGTAGTTAGTGGGTGATGAAATATCTCCCAGCTGCCTAGCCTGAGCTTCAAGCATTTTACATCAATTCACAGGAGCCACCAGGAGCATCTGCCTACCTAGAGGACTTCTGAAGGCATCACTCTAAACTTGAACCAGATCTTCCTGCATTAGTGGGCTGGATATAGTAGCAGAGTGGAGGAAAGCAGAGAACCCATGTTCTGAATTCCTCTCCAGCATGCGTCCAAGAGCTAGCCTCCAGAGCCTGAAGCAAAAGACCCCACTGTTCCAATTTTCATTTCAGACATGCTCATTTCTGAGATGCTCATCATCCAGTCAAGAGTTGCCTGTTGAATGTTTTATGCTGACTCACCCTGTTTCAGGGCAATTTCCTCATCTGTATGTCAAGGTTGAACATATTTTACCATCTTACCAATCAAGTCCAGAAGATACGATGATGCTATATTTTCAGAAATTAATAAACATATCTAGTATTATAAGTTTTGTGTCTGTATACAGTTATCCTTATTCATGTGAGAAATTATTCATTATTGTTGAACAGATATTTTGTGGGGTTTTTCTTAGACAGTCTCATTTAACCCAGACTGACCTATAACTAGCCATGTAGCTTAAGATAATTCTGAACTCCTGATCCTTTTGCCTCTACCTCCAAAGTGCTGGGATTATAGATGTATACCACCATGCCCAGCTTTATGTGATACTAAGTGATAGAACCTTGGTTCTCATGCATGTTAGGTAAGCACTCTACCACCTGAGCTACATCTCCAATTCACTTAAAGGTTTATAAACATACAAAGAATTGGGACTTTTATTAAATTTCCAATATAATTATCTTAAATGTCTGAACAAAAGGAAAAAGGGGTTCCAGGAACTCTCCAGTTTGTCTCTTCTCCTGGAAGTGGTTGTTGGGATTATCAAGTTGTGCCCAGCACCCTGGCAGATAACAGTTGGGGTGGGCTATGATGGTTGCCTCCCAGGCCAGTTAAACCAGCAGGGCCCATACTCTGATGCCCTTGTCACCCCAAGAATTCCCTTCCAGCTGATTTAGTGGTGCAATACCCAGGGCTATGCTGGGGGAGTGACCAGAGAGTGTGGGAAGACATTTGGCTCAGTATCATGGCTCCATCCACTTTAGACCAGTTTCCTGTCATGCCTGTAGAGCCCAAGCAAGGAGCCAATGAACCAGGAAAGGTACACACATGCAGGCGCACACACACACACACACACACACACACACACACACACAGTCCTCCTGTCAGAGCTAGTCCCAGTTGAAACATCCCTTACTTTCATCATGTCACTTTCTGAGCTTGTGGCTCAGTACTTTTTCCTGTAGCCTTCCTTGGGGGTAACAACTGTCCCCAGCACTTTCAGTAAGAAAAAAGGGAGCCTCTATGAGTAGAGAGCATCCAGCCAGCTCCCTTCAGTGTGGCCAACAGCAACAGTATTATTGTGAAGCAGGACCCCTTCTGACAGGGATGGCACTCCAAGACCCAAAGATACACCAGCTAGGTGAGACATCTGGTAGGCACTCATGAAGGTCACCTCAGCTGCCATCAGATCCTTCCCAAGACACTGGGCTTTTATGGACTCACTTTTTGCTCCTGGCAATACTGGAAGGAAAACATCATCCCATTTTAAAAATGAAACTTAGTTCAGAGAGGAGGAACTTGTCCAAGGCCACATAAAGAAAATGGCTGAACTAATGTTTAACCCCTTTGAGTTCTTTGTGATCATACATAGCCTCCTGTCCTACTTTATAAAGACAGAGGCAAGCAACTTTTGTACTTAAAGTTTCAAAAGCTGGAAGTAAAGGAGTCCCCTTTCTCTTGATCACAGGTAGAAACTTGCCTAAAGGAAACATGTGGGCTTTTAAAGCTAAGAGATCAGTCATTTAGGAACCCACTCAAGGAACAGTATAGAGTATCTGCAGGTCTCAAGCCTGTTGTGGGAAATCCCTAAATGAATCCAGTCCCAGCACCTCTGTGGAGATGATCAGGCAATCACATGATCATCTTGAGCGGACAGCATCCTAGTGCAAACACCCATCAAACAACAGGACATGCCCTCAGCCCCCACCTAGGTGATGTCTGCTGATGAGCCTGAGTCACAGAAACATTGAGGAGGTGTTATCAGGAGCTGAGCAGGGCCACATGCTCTGGGCAGACTGAGGAATCGCCCATGATTCTGTTGAAGCTGAACATGGTTGGGTGACAGCCTGCCCCTGTCAGGTAGCTTGAGTAAACTTCCTACAGGATTTCTCATGAGCAATTGCTTGTGAGATTGGATGAGATCACCTGTAAGAGTAAAAAGCAAGAAACCAACATGCTGAGATAATTCTCTAGAACTTTCTCTTTACTGTGGGTTTTCCCAACTCCAAGGAGTACTGGCCCCTCCTGTGCATGCACATCTGATGTCTTATGACAGAAGCTGGCCTGGAAACTGACACCAAGCTGGGTTCACCATTAAAAGTGGAGTTTGTAGGGGCTGAACTACAAACTAGAGCCAGTGAGACCCATGGCAAAGGGTAAACTGAGGAACAGAGATATTAATGCATAGCCAATAGATGTGGTGATGTATTGTGTCCCCTAATATATTGTGCACCCTAATAAAGTTTATCTGAGGATCAGAGGAAAAAGTCAACCACTATAGTAAACATAGAGGTCAGGCAATGGCAGCACACACCTTTAATCCTATCACTTGGGAGGCATCTGGATCTCTGTGAGTTCAAGGCCACACTGGGAACAGAGCCAGGCAGTGGTGGCACTTGCCTTTAATCCCAGCATTAACCATAGAGGTTTGGAGGTCTGTACAGATAGACAGGAAGTGATGTAGCTGGGCGGAGAGAGGAAGTGAGATGCAGAACAGAAAGGCATATAGGCATGGGTATATGGGAAGTAGGTTTCTTTTTGGCTGAGGATCTCCAAGTGGTAAAACATGGCTGGCTTCTTTCTGCTTTTCTGATCTCTCAGATTTTTACCCCAATATCTGGCTCCAGTTTTTTGTTAATAAGACCGTTTAGCAATTTGCCTTACAAACAGATATTCCTCCCTTCATGCACCCTTGATGGACTTCATGTAAAGGCCCCATTAGATGTAGTCCAGGGTCCTTGCTTGCTGGGAAAGGTCTTGAGGGTCAGCTTCTCAGAGCCCACTAGATCTGCCTCTGTGGCCCAGCTCCATGGCTATTCCAGGGCTGATGCTGTGATCATACTATGCTAGGACTGTAGATGGGCATGCTTGTATCTTTCCACAATATCAGACTTTATTTAATATCAATATTTTAATTAATATTTAATTAATAATTACATTTAAATAAGTTTAGTATTTAATAACAAAATTTAGTGTTTCAATAGTGGCAATTTGCCAGATAATCGCATCTACCTTGGTATTCTGGCCCAGGCAGATGCAGGTCCTTTTACCTAATTTTAATTACTAATATTAACTCTTATATCATACAGTCTACAGTAAACATACCTTCAATCTCCATATATGTCGTTTATATAATGGATACAAGTTAAAGAGACTATAGCAGAGTTCAAAAGTAGATTGATAGAAATGTTAATAAAATTTGTTATAGATAAGATAATGGGCATGAACCCAGACCAGCTGCAAGCAAGCTGTTAGTTTAGAGAGGTCTTCTGAGAGTTAAGTTTGAGAGCAAGGCTCAGGGTGGAATTCAGATAGCTGTTAGGTGAAAGAGCAGAACAGACAGAGCAGTAAGCAGTGGGTTCATATCCAAATCAAGTGAACAAATGGATGGGCAGGCAGTCAAGTATGCTATATCAAGAACTGGGGCCAGAGCTAACTGAAGTTCCAAGGAGAGTCAAGAGTTTCCTGTCTGTCTGTCTGTCTGTCTGTCCCTGGCACACAGTGGGTATCAGCTTGGTGGGGTCATGTCATCCTGCTGTTAGGTGTCCATCTTTGTATGGGGTCCAGTCAAGGGAGTTACACTCTTTTTCTGTCTGGCATGTCTGTAAGTTCTTGGGCCTGGTTTTCTTGATGTGATTCTGATATACTCCCCCATGTCCCTACAGTCTTAACTCATTCCAATATATAATCTGGACTCACTTTCTGTAGGGTACAGCCTAATATCAGCGGCTGACCTTACAATAAGACCTTGACTGGATTTATTAAGCAAGCCTAATGGCTCTGTTAGAATGGAGTCAACCCCACAAGACTAGACAACCAACTTGGGGCATGGGGCAGCATCTCTTGCCAGGGAATAGTGTATATTCCTTATAATTGATGTTTGTCCTGAGTTCTGGCCTAATTTTTTCTTTATTTGTTTTTTTTTTTTTTTTTTTTTTTTCTCGAGACAGGGTTTCTTTGTGTAGCTTTGTGCCTTTCCTGGAACTCGCTTTATAGACCAGGCTGGCCTTGAACTCACAGAGATCCGCCTGCCTCTGCCTCCCGAGTGCTGGGATTAAAGGCATGCGCCACCACCGCCCGGTTTCTTTATATGTTTTTTAAAGCCTATTTGAATATAGAAACAATCCAAAGAGAAAGTATTCTCTTTAAGAGTTAAGGGATACCAGGTGTAGTGGTGAACATCTTTCATCCTAGCACTGGGGAGTCAGAGGCAGGAAAACTGTTGCAAGTTCAAGGCCAGCCAGAGCTCTCTAGTGAGACTGTCAAACAACAACAAACAAGAACAACATCAGAAAGAGCTGTGGTGGTACAGCTTATGTTATGTTACATAATGATGATCCCCAATAGGACAATTAGACAAATTGCTGGCCCAGAAAATACTAAGCACCTGTTTGATGGCACTTTGCAATTACCCTACCCCCAGTCAGAAGCATGAAGCACCACTGCACTAGGGAGAGGGTGGAGGCTTAGGATACTTAATCAAAGCAAGAGTCTGGAGCTGGGTCATGCTTGAAGCCAGTCTGTTTCTCCCTGTGCAGCAGAGACAGCAGCCCCTGAGGCACAGGCACACAGATGACCCATAACACCTCATCTTCCTGGATGTTGATGGGCATCTCCAGGGCGGGGTGTGACCACACATGTGAGTTCTGGAGTCAAAGGCCATCTCCTGCAGCATCATTCTGCACAGAGGCATGTGCCCTCTGGAATGTGCCCAGGGGAAGGAAGAGCTTTACTGAGCAGTCACCACCTCCAGGTCCTCAGGTCTTCAAGCCATCCCAAGTTTCTCTTACTGAGTCTGCTGGACTCTCCAGAAGTCAGGAGTCACAGAGACAGGAAGACGGTGTCAGGGGTAAAGTGGTCCAGTCTTCTGTCCCCAGGCTCTTCCTCTAGGCTGCAGAAACACCAGGCATCAGGAAGGAGGTAGCTGAGGGTCACAAAGGGAGAGGAGGAAATTGTCCTCTGTCCTAGCTATGAAAGCCTACTTCTAAGCAGAATTAAGGGCTGCATTTCTTTTTATTTTCCCTCCATTGTTTGTACTCTAGATCTGTATGTCCAGAAGGAAGAGCCAGTATAATCTGGGGTGAGCTATACTCCCACCCACCTGTGGAGGGG